CGCCCCCCCGAGCGACCCGGATTTCAACCCGCCACCGCCCCCGCCGCCCACGCCCCCGGCGAACGATGAGCAACGCGACGCCGTCAAGATCGAAGACGAAGCCGAAGACACCCAGTCGCCCGGCCCCGACGCCACCATCGAGATCCCCGACGACCCGAGCGAGTCGCTCGCCGCGTACGACACGAAGCACCCGAAGCCCGCCGACACCGAGATCGACGACGCTCTGAGCTTCTTCGACGACGACGGCTCGAAGCCCGACGACGAGACGGTCGACGCCACCATCGACATCGACGCCGGGGACATCACCAGCGCCCTCACCGAGATCTACCGACCCGACGACAGCGGCGACACGGGCGGCGCGAGCGGGCCCGACGCCTTCGAGGACCTCCTCACCGCCCGCGAGATCGTCACGCCCAAGGAGCTCCTCCAGGCCCAGGCCGTCGTCAGCAAATCCCCCGGCACACGCCTCTCGGACGTCCTCATCGAACGCGGCGCCGACGAGGAGAAGGTCCTCCGCGTCCTCGCCGAGTCGTGGTCGCTCGCCTTCGAGACCCTCGACCTCGACAAGGCCCCCGACGAGATCTTCGACGGCACCATGCTCCAGCGCCTGGGCACAGACTTCTGCAAGGAGTACGAGGTCCTGCCCGTCCGCGTCGAGGACGGGCGCGTCATCCTCGGCACCTCGCGCCCGGACGACGTCTTCATGATCGACGAGGCCCGCATGCGCCTCAAGGCGCGCGCCGTGCGCCCCGTCGTCGTCTCCGGCGCCCAGATCCGCGCCGCGCTCGACCTGCTCGGCGAGGACGAGTCCGAGCACGTCACCGACGTCGAATCCATCCTCGACGACATCGAGGAAGACGACGTCCGCGTCGAAGAATCCGGCGACGACGAGGTCGACCTCGAACGCGAGGCCGCCGAGTCCCCCGTCATCCGCTACGTCAACTACATCATCCAGACCGCCGTGAAAGAGGGCGCGTCGGACATCCACATCGAGCCGGGCGACAAAACCCTCATCGTGCGCTACCGCATCGACGGCGTCCTCTTCGAGGCCATGCGCCCGCCCAACAAAATGGCCGCCGCCATCACCTCGCGCCTCAAGATCATGGCGAACCTCGACATCTCCGAAAGGCGCATCCCCCAGGACGGGCGCATCCGCTGCAACGTCCAGGGACGAAAGCTCGACCTCCGCGTGTCGACGCTCCCCACGTCCTACGGCGAAAAAACCGTCATGCGTATCCTCGACACGAAGAACATCAACGTGTCGCTGGACGACCTCGGCTTCGACGAGAACACCCTCACGATCTGGAAGAACCAGATCGCCCAGCCCCACGGCATCGTCCTCGTCACCGGCCCGACCGGCTCCGGCAAGACGACCACGCTCTACGCCTCCCTCCGCCAGATGGACAAGGTCTCGCAGAACGTCTCGACGGTCGAGGACCCCGTCGAGTACCACCTCGACGGCATCACCCAGACGCAGGTGCACGAGAAGATCGGCATGACATTCGCCAGCGCCCTCCGCGCCCTGCTCCGCCAGGACCCCGACGTCATCATGCTCGGCGAGATCCGCGATATGGAGACCGCCGGCATCGCCATCCAGGCCGCCCTCACCGGCCACCTCGTCCTCTCCACGCTCCACACCAACGACGCGCCCAGCGCCATCACCCGCCTCGTCAACATCGGCATCGAGCCCTTCCTCATCGGCGCCGCGGTCAACGCCGTCCTCGCCCAGCGACTCGTGAGACGCGTCTGCCAGAACTGCAAGAAGCCCGCCGAGCACACCGACGACATGCGCGAGTTCCTCGAGATGCAGGGCATCCCCCTCGACGCCGTCGTCGAGGGCGAGGGCTGCGAGAAATGCCGCCAGCTCGGCTACTCCGGCCGCCTCGGCCTCTACGAGCTCCTCGTCGTCGACGACTCACTCCGCGACGTCGTCGCCCGCAACCCCAACGTCACCGAGTTCCGCCGCATGTGCTGCGACCGAGGCATGCACACCCTCCGCCAGGACGGCTTCGCCAAGGTCTCCACCGGCCAGACCACCCCCGCCGAGGTCCTCCGCGTCACCGAAGCCATGGCGTAGAGCGCCCCGACCAACCCCGACCGTCAGGGAGGGGCTGCCGTGTGGATCCGGATGACGAGGGCAGCCCCTCCCTGACGGTCGGGGTTGGTCTCACCAGGCCCACATCACCCCAACATAAAACATCACCGAATCCCGGTCCGGGTTGTCATCCGACCCCGAAATATTCGCGTTCGAGATGTGGTGCCACCGCACGCCCAGGTCGAGCCGCGCCCCGTCCCACCCGTCGATCGCGATCGTCGTCCCCACCCCCGCCCGCGGCGTGAAGTTGAAGCTCGTCCCGTCGTCCGGCACGTCGTCCGTCGACCCGAGCACGCCGATCCCGAAATCGAAGTACCACGACTGCGCCGGCTCGTTCACGAAGTGCCAGCGGAACCCCAGCGCGAAATTCGCCGAGCCCGCGTCGTCGCCGTCCTGGTCGTGGTACCACGCGCCGAGCGTCAGGTTGAACTCGAAGTCCTCCGCGATGAAGAAGTGCGCCATGCCGTAGGCGTTGATGTCCGTCGCGCTCCCGTTCAGCGCCACGCCCGCGCCCGCGCTCCACATGTGCGCCCCCTCGCTCCCGAACGCGAGCGTCGCCGGCTCGTCGAGCCTGAACTCCCCCGGCTCAACCACAGCCGGCTCCTGCGCCGGGGGCGTGGGGGGGGCGGGCGGATCGCCCGCCTCCTGCCCGAGAGAAACAGGGCACGCCGCGAGCACCAGTCCGATACGAGCGATCCATCGAGTCATACCGCGAAAAATACCACCCATCCCGAGCCCCTGCGCCGTACCATGCCCACCGTGGACGAGCACCGCGAAAGGATCGACCGACTCGAAGAGGCCCACGCCTTCAACGAGCGCACCAACGAGCAGCTGAGCGAGCAGCTCCTCGCCGCGTTCGAGCGCATCGAAGCCCTCGAGAAGCGCCTCGCCCGCCTCGACACCCGCATCGTCGAACTCGCCGACGCCATCATCGACGAGGACCGAACCCTCGAAGACGACGTCCCGCCCCACTCAGGAAAACGGTAGCAGCACTGCAACCAACCCCGACCGTGAGGGAGGGGCTGCCCAACGATCCCACCAACACCACCGCGCCCCGCGCGACGCGCCACCACCGAACCGGAGCACACCCATGACCTACGTCGACGGATTCGTCTTCAACGTCACCAAAGACCGCATCGACGAGTACAAGAAGATGGCCCACACCGCCGCCCCCGTCTGGAAAGAGCACGGCGCCCTCTCCTACACCGAGTGCCTCATCGAGGACGCCCGCATCGAGGGCATCTACTCCTTCCTCGACCTCTGCGACACGAAGGACGACCAGACCGTCGCCTTCGCCTGGATCACCTACAAAGACCGCGCCCACCGCGACGAGGTCAACGCCAAGGTCATGCAGGACCCCCGCCTCGCCGACATGTGCAACCCCGAGAACATGCCCTTCGACTTCAAACGCATGGCCATGGGCGGCTTCGTCCCCTTCGTGAGCGAGTAGCAACCACGCCATAGCTACCCCGAACGCCAGTGAGGGGACCGAAAGATCCCATTGATTCCCACACAGATCCCATCCGCCCCTGTGCGATGGACACCGCTGCGCGTTCGTTTCTTCAGAAAACACACCACTTCCCCCCGCGCAAGTGGTATCCCTGAGTGAACACCCAACGCTCAGGAGCCACCCCATGCCCCGCGCCCGCAACCTCGCCCTCACCGCACTCGCCCTCGCCGCCGCCGCGACCCTCCTCGCCGCCGCCCAGCCGAGCACCACGCCGACCCCAACCCGCCACGCCTTCGCCCCCAACCTCGCCGATTGGCACGACGAGGACTGGGTCCTCGTCGGCAACAAGGGCCCCCTCACGCTCAACGCCGTCGCCATCCACGAGGGCGGCATCGAGATCTACGACGCCCGCGGCACCCAGCTCGGCGCCGCCATCGCCACCCGCGCCTTCGAGACGACGGGCAACTGCGACCGCATCTACGCCACGTCGAAGTACGGCGGCTCCGTCCAGCTCGAGTTCGACGTCGAACTCGAAGGCCCCATCCACATCCGCCGAACGAAATACACCGCCCGCAACACCAACTTCCACGTGATCTACACGCAGTAGCGCACCGCCTCAGCACGCGCCGCGACCAACCCCGACCGTCAGGGAGGGGCTGCCATGCGGATCCGTGCGCACAGGGCAGCCCCTCGCTCACGCTCGGGGTTGGTCCCGTGCTACCCGCCCGCCTCAATCCGCGGATCCACCCACGAATACAACACATCAACCACAAGGTTGAACACGACAAGCATCCCCGCGAACACCAGCGTCACCCCCATGATCACGAACAGGTCCTTGTTCTGCACCGCGTTCACGAAGTGCTGACCCACGCCGGGAACGTTGAACACCAGCTCCACAACGAACGACCCCGTCATCGCATAAGCCGTCGCCGGCCCGAGGTACGACAGCACCGGCAAAAACGCGTTCTTCAGCGCGTGCTTGAAGATCACGCTCCGCGCCCCGAGCCCCTTCGCCCGCGCCGTGCGCACGTACTCCGAATTCAGCACCTCGATCATCCCGAGACGCGTCAGCCGCGCGATGTACGCCGCGAAGGGCAGGCTGAGCGTCAGCGCCGGGAGCACGAAATCCCCGGGCCGACCCCACGAGCCCACCCGCCCGATCCCGAGCAGCACCGGGAACACCATCAGCAGCACCGTCCCCGTCACGAAGCTCGGCAGCGAGATCCCGATCAGCGCCACCCCGAGCGTCGCGTGGTCCGCGAGGGAGTTCGGCCGCACCGCCCCGATCACCCCGCTCCCCACGCCGATGAACACCGCGATCAGGATCGCCCCGAACCCCAGCGTCACGCTCACCGGCAGCGTGCTCGCGAGCAGCTCGTTCACCGTCCAGTCCTCGTAGCTGAACGACGGCCCGAAATCGAACACGTACGCCGGCGCGCGCACGTCCGCGTCGATCTTCGAGTGCAGCCACTGAACCCCCGTCGCCTTCTTCAGGTACCCGAAGTAGAACCGCACCGGGTCGTCCAGGTCGTACTGCGCCTCCATCGCCTCGAGCACCGCCGCGGGGGGCTGGCGGCCCTCGTCGTTGATCACCGCGCTGCCCGGCAACGCCCACGCGAGCACGAACGTGATCGTGTAGATCGCCAGCAGAATCACCGGCAGCTGCGCGAGCCGAGAGAGCACGAACCGCGTCACGACCCCGCCCCGCCCTTCACGATCTCAAGCTCGAAGAGGTACTGCACGAGACGCGGGTGGCGCGTGATCCCGCGCAGCCCCCCCGGGTTCGGCGACCCGTCCGACCGTTCCGGGGGGTCGAAGAGGTACACGTAGTTGTAGTGCCAGAACGGCACGATCGGCAGCTCCTCCTCCACGATCATCCGCTCCGCCTCGCGCAGGATCTCCATCCGCGCCGCGGGGTCCCGCTCCGCGTCCGCGCGATCGAGCAGCGCGTCGTACGCCGGGTTCGAGTACCCCCGGTCGTTGTTCCCGTCACCCGTCCGGTGCAGGTCCAGGAACGTGAGCGGGTCCCCGTAGTCCCCGTACCACCCCCCGCGCGCCACCATGTAGTCCCGCCGCTTGAGGTTGTCGCGGTACACCTTCGTCTCGCGCACCACCACCTTCGACTCCACACCCAGCGCCTCCCGCCACATGCCCGCCACCGCGAGCCCCACGTCCTCGTGGTACGAGAGCGTCGTCACCAGGATCTCCACCACCGGGAACGCCCGCCCGCCCGCGTCCTCCGGCACGCCGTCCCCGTCCCGATCCACCCACCCCGCCTCGCGCATCAGCCGGCGCGCCGCCTCGACGTCCATCGCGAGCCCGTCGGGCCCCGCGTACCCCGGGATCGACCCCGGCGGGATCAGCACGTCCGCGACCTCCTCCCCCGTGCGCTTCACCTTCTCCGTCAGGTCCCCCTTGTTCACGCACAGCGCGAACGCTTTGCGCACCCGCGCGTCCGCGAACGGGTTCGCCGCACCGTTCGAGAGCGTCCCCGTGCAGTTGAAGCTCCAGAAGAACGTGCCGAACGCCGGCACCACGTGCAGGTCGTCCCGCTCGCCCGCGCGCATCCGCTCGATCATCTCCGGCAGGTAATCCACCGACACGTCCGAGTGCCAGTCCACCACGCCCGTCTCGTACGCGATCACCCCCGTGTTCCCCTCCGTGATCGGGATGATCGAGATCGTCCCGCTCTTCGCCAGCGCCGGGTCCCGGTACTCCGGGTTCCTCGCCAGGCGCATCTCCCGCTTGAACTTCCACGACACCGGCACGTACGGCCCGTTGCACACGATCCGCCCCGGCTTCGTCCACTGGTGGTCCTGACGCACCGCCCCCGTCCGCGCGTCGACGCTCACGTACCGCTCCACCGTCGCCTCGTGCACCGGGTAGAAGGGGGGGAAGGCGATGAAATCCATGAAGTACGGCGCCGGGCGCACCAGCCGCACGCGCAGCGTCGCGTCGTCCACCACCTCCACGCCCACCATGGCGCGGAACGCCTCGTCCGCCTCCGCGCGCAACGCCTCGGCAGCCTTCACGCTCTTCTCCTCAGCGGGGCGCGACGCGTACGCATCGAGCTGGTCCCGACGCCACGCGAAGAAGCCCTCCGCCCCCTCGATCAGGTAGAACAGGTTCGAATAATCAGCCGCCGTGTCCGGCATGATCGCCCGCTGCCAGGCGTACGCGACGTCGCCCGCCGTCACCGGAGCCCCGTTCGACCACCGCGCGTCGTCCACGAGATAAAACGTGTACTCCGTCCCGTCGCCCGACACGTCCCACGAATGCGCGAGCGCCGGGCCGACGTCCATCGTGTCGTTGTCCCACCGCGCCAGCCCCTCGAAGATCCCGTACGCCAGGCGGAAATCCTGCAGATAACTCATCCGCTGCGGATCGAGCGTGTTGAAATCCGCGATCTCCAGGACCGTCAGCTCCGCCCGGGGAAGCGGCCGGTCCGAGACCACCACGCCCGCCATCCCCAGCGCGAACACGAGCACGATGGCCGCCAGTTTCTTCACGCCCTGAGTGTAGACGCCGCGCGCCCGAAGCGCGCCGCGGCTCAGCGCTCCACGCGCAGCTGCACCGCGCTCGCGCGGCGCGACAGGTCGTCCAGCAGCACGCCGGTCGACGCGCTCACGCCCGACGGCCGATCCGCGGCGAAGCCGATCGCCGCCTCGCACAGGCCCACCACCGCGTCGCGGAACGCCCGGTCCACCTCGACGTCCTCGTTGTAATCACCCGCCAGCGCCGCCTCGTTCACGCTCTCCAGCGCGTGCGAGAGCGCCACCGCCCACGTGTCGATCATCTCGTCCGGCGTCCGGCGATCCAGGTTGGCCGCGAGGCCCGCCGCCATCGCCCGCGCCGCGTCCAGCCGCAGCTGCGTCCCGCCCTCGTCCGCCCCCGCGAGCACCACGACGAATTCCGTGACCACCGTCGCCGCGTCCTCGTCCGCCAGCGCCGCGCCCAGCGCGTCCAGGTGCGCCGCCACCGCCGACTCGCGCACGGGCGAGGACGTCTCGCGCACCGTCGCGAAGAAGTCCGCGTGCGCCGCGACGCCCAGCGAACGCTCCACCGGGTCCGAGCTCGCCAACGACGCTTCCAAAAACGGCAGCACCTTGCCCATCCCCAGACGCCCGCACATGCGCAGGCCCGCGAACCGCGCCGCCGGGTCCGCGCCCGCCGAGAGGTCGCCCCGCATCCGCGCCACCAGCGCGTCCTGCAGCGCCAGCCGGAACGACGCCGTCACCTCGTCGCGACGCGTGAACGGCTCGATCAACGCCTGCGCCGACGAGCCCGACGCCGACGCGTCACCAGAGAGCATCGCGTCGAAATGGCCGTTCATCCACTCAACCGCCCGGTCCTTCTGCGACGCGCTGAGCGTCTGCGCCTGGCTGAGCGTCGAGATGCCCCCCCCGGACCCGGGCTGCGCCGACGCCACGCCGCACACCGGCCCGCTCACCACGATCGCCGCGCACACCCCGAACAGCGTTCCCATCAAGCCTCGTCTCACGGTCAACCTCGCTCGCGATCTCTGGTGGTCTTCGCGGCATCGCCGTGCCGCGCGGTCGGTCTCAGGGCCACAAGCGGCCATCATAGCGCGTCGGGCAAACTATGGACTCACCGCGCAAGCGTCAAACCACGACCGCCCCGCACCCACCCGCGCCGGACGCAACACCAGAACATCGACGCCCCCTCGGGCGTACCCTCCCGTATGCTCTGGGCGCCCCAACGCCCACTGGCCCGCTCCGGGACACCCGCCGCATGACCACGATCCGCCTCGCCACATTCTTTGGAAGGATTCTGTTCGGAAGCCTGTGGTCCTCCCTGCTCGTGATCCCCAGCCTCATGCTCCTCCTGACCCGTGCCGATGACATCACTCTCTCGAGCCTGAGTTTCTGGGTCGCCCTCGCCGGGTTCGCCTCCGGAAACTTCGTCTTTATGTATGTCGTCGCGGACCGTCTGTGCCGAGTGAGAGAGAGGTGGGCCGTCGACATGGCCGAGCTGGCCCTGCTCCTGACCTTCGGCCTCGCCATCATCATGTCCCTCACGCTCTGGATCGCCGGAGGCGCCCTGTGAAACCCATCCTCCCCAACGCCCTGCGATCCCTCGCCCTCGCCCTGCTCGCCTCGGCGCCCCTCGCCGCGCAGCAGCCCGAACCGGCCACCCCCGAGACCCCCCAGGACACCGAAGCCTCCGGCGAGAGCGCCTTCTCCGACCTGCCCATCCCCGAGTTCGCCGAGCGCCGCCCCGTCGCCGAGCGATTCGAGGACAACACCCCCGACACACGCGACCCCGACGTCGTCATCCGCAACAACGCCGTCGACGCCATCTTCCGCTACGCCCTCCGCCAGATCCGCTCGGACATCGCCAACCCCACGCGCGACGACTACAGGCGCATCGCCCTCGTCCTCACCGTCCTCCAGCGCGAGTTCCCCGAAGACGCCGAACGCCTGCGCATCCTCCTCGACGCCTGGACCTGGGCCGACGACCAGCAGCGCGCCGACCAGGTCCTCCGCACGCTCGTCCGGCTCGACCCCTCCGACACCGTCCTCCAGCTCCGCTACATCAACCGGGCCATCCAGAAGAAGCAGGACGCCGACTCACGACTCGCCATGTACGAGCGCCTCATCGGACCCGACGGCGTGAACATCGACGCCTCCGTCAAGTCACGCCTCGCCCTCGACGCCGCGCTGCTCTACCGCGAGCTGGGCGACGAGGCCCGCTACGTCTCCGCCCTCGGCCACGCCACCGAGCTCGACCCGACCAACAAAGAGGCCGCCGCCCTCTACGCCACCTACTTCCTCGACAGCACCCGGGACCCCGTCGAACGACTCGAGGTCCTCGTCAACGTCGTCCTCGCCGACCCCCACGACGAGCAGGCCCACCTCAACGTCGCCCACGAGCTCATGATCAACGGCGCCTGGGTCGGCGCCCAGCGGTTCCTCCAGCGCGTCAACGAGCTCCACGCCATCCGAGGCACCACCCTCAGCGACGAAGACCTCTTCGACATCGCCCTCACCCTCTGGAACGCCAACAGCGCCGAGGAGGCCCTCTCCCTCATCGACGGGCTCCTCAACCGCGAGATCCTCGCCGAGCAGTACCGGCGCGCCGAGACCATCGCACAGGGACGCAACCCCGGCCCCGAGCTCCCCATCGTCCTGCCCACGCAGCTCGAGACCATCCGACTCGCCATCCTCACCGCGCAGGGCAACACCGAGGAAGCCGAGAAATCCATCAAGCGCATCGCCGTCCGCCACCAGATCGAGCTCAACCTCATCCGCCGCCCCGAGCTCCGCCCGCCGTGGATGACCGAGCTCGAGGCCCTCAAAATCGAGCAGCACCGCCTCATCGAGCGCATCGCCGTCCGCCTCTGGTCCGGCCAGGAGCTCGACCTCGCCCGCGTCGACCTCCAGTCCCTCCGCGACATCTCCAGCCGACGACCCATCCACCCCGACGCGCTCCAGCGCTTCGACGGATTCTTCGCCATCTGGGAGAGCCGCTTCGACGAAGCCAAGGACCTCCTCGAGCCACTCGCCGATTCGGACCCCCTCGCCCGCCTCGGCCTCGGCATGCTCGCCCAGTTCCAGGGCGACCAGGACGGCGCCATCAAGCACTACGCCCGCACCGCGCTCATGGCGCCCAACACCGCCATCGGCTCCGCCGCGCGCTACTCCATCGAGCTCCTCCTCGGCGAGGAGCTCGTCCCCACCGAGAAGGCCCGGCGACTCAACGAGTACGCCCTCGCGCTCGACCCCTGGATCGAAGCCGTCACCCAGGACCCCTTCAACTTCATGAGCATCTCGCTCACCCACGACGAGCTCTCCATCCGGCCCCTCGACCGCATGGGCGTCACCCTCACCCTCACCAACGTCTCCCGCCGGCCCCTCGCCGTCGGTTCGGGCATGCCCATCCAGTCTCGCGTCCTGCTCGCGCCCTCCATCGATCCCATCGGCGGCACGCTCATGACCTCCTCGCTCTCCCCCGAGGTCGTCCGGCTCGACCGGCGCCTCAGCCTCAGGCCCGGGGAGTCCATCACCGTCCCCGTCATGGTCAGCCGGGGATGGATCGGCGCCATCAACGACTACGCCGTCGAGAACACCCTCACCATGCGCTGGCGCGCCCTCCAGGGCTTCGAGGCCACCGACAGCGGCGGCTACCAGACCGGCCCCCTCTGCGTCACCACCGGCACTCAGCTCCTCCGCCGCTCCGCCGCGCCCTTCCTCGGCACCGTCGGCGAGCTCGCCGAGGACATCCGCACCGCCGAGGGCCTCACCCTCTACCACCGCCTCCTCCAGATGACCGCCAAGGTCGCCCTCCCCCAGCCCGGCGTCTCCGAAGAGCAGCAGCTCGAGATCGCACGCGAACTCGCCACCGCACTCCTCGACCGCATGGAATCGATGAACGAGTACGAGCGCACGTTCGCCATCATGCAGGGCCTCCGCGCCCGCGGCCTCTTCTTCGAGCCCGCCCTCTACAACCGCCTGATGGACATCGTCGAGGACGACCGCTCCCCCCTCGTCCGCACCGCCATGATGCTCTCCGTTCTCGGCCCGCGCCACACCGAGTACCTGGCCACCATCGAGACCGACACCGACGAAGACCTCGCCGAACTCGCCGCCCTCACCCGCGCCATGGCCGAGCGCATCAACGCCGCACGCCAGTAGCATCCACACACCGTGGACCCCGATCCCCAGAGACCGGATGACCCAGCACCTTCTCCCCTCGCGGGAGAAGGTGGCCGACGCAGTCGGCCGGATGAGGGGGCCCAATCAAATCCGCCGCGAAGCGGCGCTCCTTCAAAGCCCCTCCCCGAGGCAGGGGCAGGGGCGGGTTCTCCGAACAGAATCCCCCGCTGGCTCGGCTTCCTCATCGCCCTCGCGCTCCTCGCCGGCGCCGGCGTCGCCATCGCCGCTAACGCCGAAGACTTCACCCGCGCCCTCGACGCCATGACCCGCGCGAGCTGGTGGCACTGGATCGCCCTCCCCGGCGCCATGCTCGCCGCGCTCCTGCTCACCTCCGCCGTCTTCTCCATCCTCACCCGCCAGTACGGGCGCGTCGGCTACACGGAGATGAACGCCCTCATCGGCATCGCCTGGACCGTCAACTTCCTCCCCATGCACCCCGGCATGTTCGGCCGCCTCGCCTACCACAAGAAGGTCAACGGGATCGCCCTCCGCGACTCCATGCGCGTCCTCATCTGGGCCAACGTCCAGACCCTCTGCGCCGTCGCGCTTCTCCCGGCCATCGCCTACGCCGCCGCCGCGATCGCCGGCGCGAGCGAAGCGACCACCCTCGCGCTGCTCCAGCTCCCCGCCATCGTCTGCTTCGCCCTCGCCGCGCTGCTCGCGAAATCCGAGCGCAGGCCCCACGCCTGGCGCTTCTTCACCGCCTTCGCCCTGCGCTTCATCGAGTTCGAACTCTGGGCCGCGCGATACTGGATCAGTTTCACCGTCATCGGCATGCCCATCCCCTTCAGCGCGAGCGTCCTCCTCGCCGCCGTCGTCATCATCGCCTCCATGGTCGCCATCACCGGCAACGGCATGGGCATCCAGGAATGGGCCGTCGCCCTCGTCGCGCCCCTCCTCCCCATCGCCATCGTCGCCACCGACATCACCAACGCCGACGGCCTCATCGGAGCCTTCCTCTCCAGAGCCGCCGAAATCGCCGTCGCCATCCCCTGCGGCCTCTGGGGCATGTGGTACATCAGCCGCCTGAACCAACCCCGACCGTAAGAGAGGGGCTGCCCTGTGCCTGCGAACCCGCACGGCAGCCCCTCCCTCACGGTCGGGGTTGGTACCGCGCCCCCCTGAAATCCAACCTGGCCTCTTCCCAACCACTCAGAGGACCCCCACACTGGAGTTCAGGCCCGAAAACCATGACAATCGCCGCCGACCCCATGACCACCACCTTCAACGCCCAGACAGGCCGCCTCCACGACACCGCCGCCGGCGAGAGCGAGCGGACCTACTCGATGTTCAACCACCTCGTCGGGCTCATCTCCCTGGCGGATCCCTCTTCCATCCTCGCCACCATCGGCGCCATCATCATGTGGCGCGTCAAGAAGGACGAATCACCCTTCCTCGACGACCACGGGCGCGAAGCCTCCAACTTCCAGATCTCCCTCCTGATCTACACCGTCCTCGCCGCGATCTTCACGATCGTGACATTCGGCATCGGCGCGGTCCTCACCGTCCCCGCCGCACTCGGCCTGCTCGTTCTGAAGGTCATCGGCTGCATCCGAGGCGCCATCGCCGCCAACAAAGGCGAGTACTACCGCTACCCCATGTGCATCCGCTTCCTCAAAGCCCCCGGCGAAGCCTGAGCACACGAGCGAGAGCAGCCGCGAGCGGAAGCGAGCCGGACCAAAGGTCGTACTCCTTTCCATCACCGGTAGGAATCCACAACAGCCCCTTCTCCCCTCGCGGGAGAAGGTGGCCGACGCAGTCGGCCGGATGAGGGGCCAAATCTATTCGCTGCGCAGCAGCGCTCCTTCAAGCCCTCCCGAGGGGAGGGTTTGGGTGGGTTCGTATTCCCTTCAATAACCCGCCGCGAAGCGGCGCTCCGCCCCTGATGCCTAGTGCCTGATGCCAAGTG